TGGCCTGGAGAACAAGGTCTCTGATAGCCAAGGAGCGGTAAGAGACCCTGTGTATAGGCGGGGGGAGTGGGGAGCGGAGAGGAGGCTCCGTGGCAGATTCCTAAGTGAGAATGAAGACTTTGTACAATGGGCCCAGGAACAGACTAATGGGCAGAATGAAATGGCAGATGTTGAATCCTCGAAGACTTCAGGCTTGAGGGCACTGCAAATAAGAGAAGCAGCAAGAAAGAAAGATGGGGTCCCAGGTGCCCTTGGAGTCCGGTGCTCATTTAGCACAGTGTTTGGTATTGAAAGTTTTCTAGCAAAAGCCAACAGTTTGATACCTTTGAACAGCTTTACAAGTGAATCAGTCAGACTTTTTGAAGTTCCTGTAAGAACTCCTCCCTCATCCCTTCTCATCTGTCCTCCTCCTCCTCATACAAGCAGTTCTCAGCACACAGATTGGGCCTGCCAGCCACAGAGGAACCGTATTTCAGATATCTTATGTAACATTTACTTATCTTCTGAATCCTCCATATCTTAAATGCGTAATTCTGACCTTTCGTGTTTTTCCCCCTTCATTTATATTTACCCTTGGCATGTTGCTTCTCAGCCTTTTGGCTAAGATCAAGTGTATATTTACCCTTGGCATAAACTACCACTTTTGCTCCTGCCCTCTATCCCCTTCCTGCCCCACCTTTTACCCCCAGCTTCCTTTTTGTCCCCATATCTTCTCTCCTTCTTGCTCTCTTGGTGATATATATATATAGTGTTCGCACTTCATAGCCCATTGGTACACAGCTGTTCCTTTCAGGCTACCTCTCTTTCCTTCGTGGTGGGACCCGAAGGTCGGGCCCAGACCCCTTAGCCTGGCCCAGTGAAGGACACTGGCTTTTCCAGGCTCACCTGTTGGCCCCTATATCCCAGACAAACAGCCTCAGAGGCCTAAAAAGACAGTGGGGGCTCTGGCCTTGCACCCTCCCTGTAGTCCTCCATGTCTGGATGCCTTCTTGGTCGTGGAGTTGGAGGAGTCTGGAGTGACTCATCACTCCAAGTGAGCCTCAAGCAGTCCTGGTCTGACTTCAGCCTGATTTAGACCCCTCTGTGCAGCCCAAAAGGGAGTTTGTGACCTGTGGGAGTTCAGGACTAAGGACTGCCTGAAACCTTGTGGGCTTTGTGGACATGCACTGCAGCCACTGAAGGCATCTTAGAGTTCCTCCTCCCCATGTGGCCATCAAAGGAGGTTACACACATATATGTTCCAGATTGTAATTCAGGGATTGAGCCCCAGCAATGTACAAATCATTGGTCAAGAAATGTAGTTACTCTATAATTGTCCAGGAAGCATACCTAAAAAACACTTAGCCTTTCATATTCACTCATGGCTAAAGAGGGAGAGTTTGGTTTGATCCAAGGTGATCAGAATCTGGGTAACAGGAGGAGAGAAAGGTGTTCCCGTAATTAGGATATTTTAGAGGAAGTCCAAAAACCAACTTAGATACGGTGAGTTCATCTTGCAGAGCTGTGGCTGAACTCCAGCCGTCCTCGTAGCTCAAGTCATCTCAGGAATTTACCCAGTGGGTATAGACTGAGATAGGATTCAAGAGGAAGCCAGAACTTGAAGGAACAAGGCAAAGTATTTTGAATGTTTGGCATCAGCATTTTTGTAAAAATTTTGGCTCAAGTAGACTGTGATGTGATTTACCTGGTTGTGACTTGGTCCAACCTCTGTGAAGAGGTTTTTTGTTTTTTGATTTGTTCTTTTCATTTCTGTTGTGTACACTTTTTGGACAGTCTGCCAGCAGGGGGCACTGCTACTGCTGAGTGCATGTAGGGGCTGCCTAAGAATACCAAGCACTGGTATCTTTCCTGCTTGGGCAAGGTGAAGGTAAGTAAGTGTGGGTTAACAAAATGGGACCCTATTACTTTGAGGTGAAATTATATATATTTTCATCTTTATAAAATTCTGCATACTCTATATATGTGTGATTCATTCTCATAACAATGGTAGCAGTCATTTTATTTTTCAGATTAAACCACCCAGGCTTGTCACAACAGAATCTACAAATGCACAAGATAACAGGAGCAGGAGATAAAAGAAACTGGAAAATGATTCTGTGAACTTGTGGTGGGGTGTAGGGGGAAAATGTAGTGGGCACAGGACACAGGTTTTTCTTCGTTTGACTAGTAAACAACCTGAATGACTTGATTGCCTATGTTCTATTTAAACAACACTTCAGAGACTAAGAAAGCAAGGCTGATCATATCCTGTGATTTAGCAGGAAGCAGTATAACCCCTGGTTTACAAAACAAGAAATGGTTTCAACCTGAGAGAAACCAGCATTGCAAAGAGATTCCAAATCTGTGAAGGAACAACTAGCTTCTGGATGAAAAATGTACATATATGCTTAGGAAATGGTCTATCACCAGGGGCTGGTTCCTGAGCCACCGTGCGGAGAAAAACTCAGAGAACTGAGTTCCTTGTACTTAACGCAGATAGCACTTTTGGCTTTGACACTCTCTCCCCCTTGCTGCCTTCTTCAGCACTACTCTGAGGTTCATGACAGTAACACAAGGTGGATAATGTTACGTGTGCACTGTAATAATCCATGTGAACATAGCAGCTGGCTGCAATTTACTGCCTCAATGAATGGGCTGTGTTCTGAATGCATTAACATCAGAACCTGCTTGTGAAGTAATGAATAACAAGATCATCTTTTGTATTATTCCTTCTCATTCTTAACTGTTTTTAAATGAAGGGAAAGCATGACCAGAATTACTTGTGTGCGTTCTCTAAGACAGCACAGGGTGGAAATGAAAAGCCCCCCCTTCCTTGAGACCTCATGTCATGCAGATTTGAAATTAAGCTGAGCTGGATTCAGGATGGTGACCGTTAAACACTGCTAAGAACAAAGCAATAATGTTCTTGTAAACAGTCAACCAAACCTGTAAGAAAATGTCTTTCACAGCTTGGTGTGAGGTATTATGTTAAGGTGGTAAATTAATAGGGAATTCTCAAGTTTGCTCCCCAAGCTAAAATCTATGTTGTCCTCTTATCTTGGCTAGACGTGCTTTCTCTCTCTCTCTCTCTCTCTCACACACACACACACACACACACTCACACACACATACAGCACCGCTATCATTCCAATCCCCTTTCTTGCTTCAGATTCCACAAACTGGCCAGGTATCTAACTTATGAGCTAGAGCACCTGGATCTAATAAACAGATAAACAGCTGGAATTGTTCTTCTTTTCAATCTTTATTTGCTACTTTCATTCCTTTATCCTACCAATGCAAATTGTGGAGGACAGCAGGAAGCCACGCGTGAGGTGGCACGTGCCAGCAGGCTGAGTGATGCTAACCCGGGCACCACAGAAGTGACAGTGGGCATAGTGCCTGGGCCTGGGGAGCAGGCTGGGAGCCCCGGGAGCCGGGGGCGTGGGAGGAGTGGGGGTGGGGAAGGGCCGAGAAGCAGGGGAAGGCCACCTCCCACAGTTTGGCTTTTAAAACATGAAGCAAAGTTGTATTCTTTGTCCTTTTGTTTCTTTAATAACAAAAAAACAAAAAACAAAAAAACCCCAAAACCTTCTATAACTTATAAGCTATTTTTTGCTATCTACATTATATAGAAAATATAGACTCTGTTTATTTTATAACACGCATCTTTCCCTTGATAAATAATTCTTTAAAATATCTGGTATACATGCCTTGACTCTTTATACATAAGTTTGGTTTTATACATATACATACATATATACTCAGCTTCTTTTAAAATCAACTTTCTAAGTTGATTTTGATTGTAGGTGATGCAGCAAGCCACAGAGTTGGGGATTTTCAAAATGTCATTGGCCAATTATCATAGACGGCCTTGGACTTTTCTCTTGGTAGTCTGAGTAGAACATTGGAAAATGTCCTTCTTCTCTTTGCTCAAGGACTTGGGCTTTTTAAGTTCATTTCTTTGTGACTCAAAACTTAGTGATACATTACATTTCTACCTTTACACCCTTTTAGCTCTCGTCTTGTCTCATAGCCGCAGCTGGTGAATTTGACCTGTGGTTGTAAATTAGGTTTCTGATTCCATAGCCTTGATTCTGGTGGCATGGGTGGGGGAGGTGGGATTCAGAATTGCTAACGGTGTCCTGGGAGGAGAGTAAATCCAGTTGCATCTGAAGGGACTTCAGAGCCCAATATATTTAGTTCCTTTATTTTGTATCCCCCCTCTCCAGAGGTTAAGTCACCTCTTAAGGTCACACCAAGTTTTAGTGGCAGACCCGGACTAGAAGCCCAGTTTTCTTTCTCTAAGTCACATCCTGCTTCACACAGCACCTTCATAGCTCTCAGATGGGAAGAGGGAGGCTCAGAGAGGTGAGGCAACCTGCCCGAGGCCCCAGGGTTAGGTTCTGGAAGAGTTGCAATTAGAACTCAGACATGCAAATAGACTGTATTCCCTGAGTTGTTGCAGCTGAATCAATTTTCTAGAAACTCATTTGTCTTGAATGTACTCATAAAAACTAGCTGTTTAAAATCTCCCATTGCGATTGTAATGTGAACAGCTCTAATTTGTATGGTCTCTGGCAAGGATGGGCACATAAATTCAGATGTGGGCCTTTGGGATCTCCCGGGGCCAGTTCTACTTACACCCGCCACCCCACCTCTTCTAGCCGCAGCTCCAGCTTAGGGCTCCTGCTCCGTCCACCGCTGACTTTTTTTTTTGTCCATCAAAACCCTGAAATTTATGGGACAAAGTCTGTGACATTGGAGAGTTCGTTTAAAAAAACTTTCAATGCCATACATTTCAATATCCTTTTGAGAACAGGGAGGGCAACGAAAGAAGAGCTGTGTGCATCTGCAGCGTGGCTTTGCCTCTTTCCCAGCCGTTGGCATTCCCACCCTTGCGGAGAAATGGGCAGATGGGGAACACTGGTTTCAGGGGACATCCCTAACTGACTGAGTCAGGCTTCCGAGACTTTTCACAAGACAAGACCCCCATGCCCCCCCGCTTCCCACCCCTCCGTGCTGCTCTAAGAGGTGATGGGCTCAAGTGCTCTCCCTGTAGTCAGGGCTGCAGCCAGTGCCACATCGGGGTAACCATGTCAGTTAACAGTGGAAACTGGTGGCCGACCGACCTTTTTGGCCCTCACATCACAGTCCCTATTTGCTGGAGCCCTTGGGAGGACCACTAAAGCGTCTGCTCTCGGACTACCGAGTGCTCTTGAATCCACCGTGCCCCGTTCTGTTTACACCAGCAGTGAGTACAGGAATAACAAGACCGTGTCCTACACAGTGGGTCTGCGCTCAGTGTGGCAATCAAAAGCTTGCCAGGGCAGGTGGCCAGGGCGTCCAGAAAAACCGCAGTGTCACCCTGTCTCTGCTTAATAGTGGTATGACTCTGGGCAAGTTACTCTTCCTTTCAGAGACTTGATGATCTCATGTGTAAAATGGGAATAACAATACCCAATACTAAAGGGGTGTTTCTATGGATTAAATGAGATGATGTACTTAAAACACCCTGCACACCACGGCTATCAAGAAATGTTGGAGCACACAGAGTACTCAGACGGCTCTCTGCAAAGTGAAAAGGGCCCTGGGAGAAGCTCACCTTGTGTTGGAGCTGACCAAGACTGCTGCTGGGGTCTAGATTCACAAAGGTATTTGCTGCCAGGTAAGCTAACAAGTGACTGTGGTTCCGTGCTGCGCCTCTCCCATTAAAGGGTGAAATCGTGGAGAAGCTGATGGCGGTCAAGGACTCTCTCCAGAAGAAAACACAGAGAATCCAAATAAGCCCAGAGCATGTCCACACACTGTGGATGCCCTGGAAGAGCACCTGGGCGACCTTCTCTAACAGAATCTGGAATTCGGGACACCTGCAGAAGCAACCAGTGGCATGAGCCAGAATTTCTAGTAGCAGAGGCATCCGCACAAGGATGGGAACTAATCAGGGACAGGAGACTAAATGTGATGGCCCTAAAGTGGAGCCTCCATTACACTGGCTCCTAAGACACATTAAATAAAGCAGAAAGAGCAGGATTACTGCTGGGACTTAGTGAGGGCAAAGTCAGCTGATGGTCCCCAGACCCCTGAGGGCACCATTAGGGGCTGGACTTTGCCTCAGCAAGCTCTCCTGAACGCTTGAGATTTTAGCTTTGTATTGCAATTAAATCTTTGCAAGTGGTAGAACAGGAGCAAAAAGATCACTGCAGAAGTATCTTAAATCCATGTACTATTATTTTTGTATAAAAAAACATGAACTACCTTGGTCTTCTCTCATTGCTGCATCTACCAGCTACATGCATGTCAATAGATAACAACTGAATACACGTAACTATTTCTCATGCTTTTTAAAAGAATATATATTTTTCCTACATACCCTAGCCTCAAATAAGAATTTTTCTTTAAGATACTGAATATTTATCACAGAGCTCAAATGCCTTTGGAGCAGGGGGCGGAAAACCTCCCAAGTGTTTTGGTTAAGTACAGAAACTTAAAATTGAAACCCCAGGAAAATCCCTACTTAGATTATAAAAGACTTAGAAAAATGAGACCCATAGAGTCATCTAGTTTCCTTTTCCTTCACTCTTAATCACAACCTTTCAGGCTAGCAAAGGAAAAAAAAAAAAAATTCATTCCAGTTTCCACAAAAGCTCTCCAAAGGGCAATTAGGAGAGCCTGAACTGAAACAGTGCAGGGCATGACCCTCTGCTCAAATTATTACTGGGAGACTTCCATTCTATCAAATCTCTAGTTTTGAACGGATAGTTACAAAAGCTTGGCATGTCATCATGAAGTCTGAAGAACAGATCAGGGACTAGAATGTAGCATGCAGAGTTTCAGCTGACTAACCTTACCGTGTTGCAGGAAGGCCCCCGAAGTAGGGTCATTGTTTCCGGGAAGGCAATCCTTACTCCTCCGTGCTAGTAAATGACCACCATTCCCATGATGTTTGGACACCCACACTGCGCCTATGGGCAGCCTGGGCTTCATAGTATATTGCCCCTGGGACAATGGAGGATGAAATTGATTGTACTGTTTGTTTTCAGATTCTGCCTACTTGGAGCCTAGGGGTGAACTCTCAGCCCCTTAAATTACCCTCTATTTCTAACTGCCAGTCACCTGAAAAGAAGTCTAAGCCTCAGTTGTGTGGGCTGTGAACAGAAGTTGTATAGATTTATAAGTGCTAGTCTCTATATCCAACCTTGATAAATGTCTTCTGTAGGATGAAGGATTAAGAAAGATAAAAGGATAATTCCCCATTTCAAAATGTATTTGACTTGGTATTTCTTTCAAGACCAGTCTTGAATTTTTAAGAGCAACTTTAGTGACATTTGGTGGCAACGAGCATTTGCAAGCCCGTGTGTGTGCATGCGTGGTTGTTCTTTCTGGCACTGCCTGCTCTGAGCCTGCAGTCTGCCATCTCCAATAAAAGCTCTGTAAGCAGAGGGTGACAAGACAAGAGAGACAAGAGACCAAGGAGTAGAAGAATGTGTTTTTTGCAACATTAGCTTCTCAATCCTACATGAAAATACAGCTGAGAGGACTCTAAAACCCCATTTTAGAAACACTGAAAATTATGTTCCTTGTTGTCCTTTTGTTTTGTTTTGTTTAATGCCTATTAAAATATTTTTAGATATCAGAATCATGAAAACAAAGGAAAAGAGCCTTGACATTTTTTTTTTTAAGGGAAAAGGGCTATGTCTGAGTGGAACTGAGGACTTCCCTTCCATATCCACAAAGCTGCATGAACTGCCTAGAGCCCATTCCTAGCTTGGTAGGGGCGACGGGTGTGGAGCACAAATCAAGTCCAGGGCCAGCTCTCTTTTTCCCTTGTGCTGGGGAACTCCCACTGCAACCCCGGGGCACGCAGCTGTCCCCTGTTCTTGAGGGCCACATATGAGCTTGTAGTCAGACCCACACCTCCCACAGTCTCTTGGGCTCCACCCACGGAGCCAGATGAAAGAACCACCTCAGTGCTTCAATACCGAATCCCTCTTACACTCAGTTCTACTCCTCCATAAATAGTGTTATACGATGGCTTCTTGCAGTTTTTTAATTGCTGACAAATTCAAAGGGATATGTGATTCTCTGCCTCGTCTATCTCCATGCAGGTTGTGCTCTTGCTCCCTCCTTTTGCCTTAAAGAACCCATCTCTCTGCTGGCCATTCCTGGCACTCCCTTGCCCCACCTCAGGCCAGGTGTAGGGCAGTGCGCCAATCAGGAAGACGCTCCCTCCTGCTTCCTATGAGGAAGACCAATCAATCGAGAAAGCTGTACACTTTACTACCGAGTACTTTTTCCTTCAGATACTTAAAGTGGCTTCCTGGAACTTGAATTTTCTCATTAGCCCGTTGCACCCCCACCTTTCCCCAGACTAATGGGCTTGTGTGGACATGTGAGGATGTGCCTTCTGCCAATGTGGGGGGGAAGGGAGGATGGGGAGCCTGCACCAACTAAGCTTGATCTCACAGGAGCATTTGGCTTGCAAAAGAGGCCAGGGTGAGGGGAGTGGATGAGGTGAGGAGGAAAGCCGTCCCTCCTTGCTTCCATAGTAAAGGGCAGCAGAGGCAGCCAGACCTCCTACCTCTCATACAAATGCCCAGCAGGGATGCTCTCAGACACGGCAGGCCCTCTAAACACTCTCAAGTCTCAAGCTATATACTCAGCATCCTAACAGTCTTGTTTGGGGCCCCACACCTGGGCTGGGGTTCGCCTTCCCAGAGCTCATTTATTCCCATTGCCCTTTCACCTCCCCTCATTCCTGAAGGCCACCTCTCCCCAATGGCTTTCCCCAACTCTAGGCCCCAGGCAGAAGCTCTAAGTTCCCTTAGGTCCCCAGACCACGCTAACAGTACAGGGACATCCTGCTCCTGCGCATGGCTTCGCTGATCAGGTAGGCAGGGCTCAGCTCCGGCTCCTCGGTCATAATGGCAATGTTCTGCCACTCGCCGGTCTGGCTGGACCTCTTGATGGTGTCTACAACACACAGGGCATACAGGCAGTCGTCAAAGGTGGCGGCCATGGTGAGCGGCCGCCCGTCCCACGTGCGCCGGTCGTCCTGGTCCTGGAAGGCCTGGCGCACGGCCTGCATCATCTTGATGGTGCCACGCAGGTAGGGCGAGGGGATGTCGCTGAACGCCTTCTCGGGCAGCAGGGAGTTGCTGACAGGTGTGGAGTCCTGCAGAAGCAGCTCCTGCTCCGGGGCGCTATGGCGCTGCCCGTATAGGTCCGTGCCCACCGCCAGCAGGCGCCCGGCTGAGCCCACCACGGTCACATCCTGCTTGAACTCACCGGGCACGTTGAAGTTGAGGGTGACGGTGCAGCACACCCCGCCCTCCAACACCATCTGGAAGGTGCAGAAGTCGTCGCTGGTGATCTGGCGGATGCCCTTTATGTGGTCCGTCTGCTTCACAAAGGTCTTGAGCAGCCCGTGGACCTTGACGGCCTTCTGGCCGGTGAGGAAGGTGAGCAGGTCGATAATGTAGGTGCCTACCGAGTGCAGGCCGCCTCCGCCCATCAGGTCATCACAGCTCCAGTTGTACTTCTTGCCCAGCAGGCTGCCGCTGTGCACCTGCACCTCGCACACCAGCAGCTCCCCCACGTAGCCCTCCTCAATGAGCTGCTTCATGCGCACGAAGGCCGGCAGGAAGCGCAGCACGTTGCCCATGATGCTCATAAGCTTGGGGTAGTAGTGGGCAGCAGACATCATACGGAAGGCGTCCAGCGGCGTGGCCGTGCGGTCGCAGATGACGTTCTTGCCAATGCCTGCGGGAGGGAGGAAAAACAGCTGATCAGGGCGCTGGATGGGGAGCGAGAGTAGGGCGCTGTGTCCCGTAGATGTTAAGTCTTGGAATGGGAATCAGATCAGATTGGATATCCTTGAAAATATTTTATAACATCTTTTGTTTATGCAAAAATAATATATTCCTTATATTTCAATATTCTCTTTATATCCATTTATTAAATTGCTAAAGTGATTACTTAATTTTAGTATTAAACCATCACCATTGATATAAATATTGATTTATTTTAATATGTTAAGTAGTCAATATTTTAGAAATATTTTTAAAAGGTTTAAATGTTTAAAATATAACAAAATATCTCATTTAATACTTAATGTATGTAAGTCTATAATATTTTATATACCAATGTTAGTTATAAAACATACTCAAAATATTTCAATATAAAACATGAGTTCTATTAAAGTATGCAATGTAATCTTTTTAAATATAACATAAAATATGTCTTATTAAAATTATCTTACATATGAAATGCTTTAAGTTTTATTTTTTATGTAAAATAAAATTTTATTTAAAATGTACTTTTAAAAATATCATATATAGAGAAAAGAATATTGTCTCTGTCTGGACAAAACCAGAACATATAAGCTTAAATCAAGGCCAAGGTCAGTCTGATTGAATATGAGGAAAAATTTCTTAATGATAATCCTTCAAAGGCCTATGCTTTTAGCTACTCCCCCACAATTACCAACAAAGGATTACCGTTTGAGTATTGTCTTGCTTGCTTGCTTGCTTGCTTTGCATTATGAATTAAGTCTTGTAGTGGTGTTAGTTTAATGTTTTGTAACAGATGTGTTAGTTTAATGTTTTCTGCCTCCTTACAGGAAGGGCAGGTACTATCTCAGGGGTGGACAGTGGCCAGTTTCTCCTGGACTGCCATCTGTCTCACCAGGAGGTTTCGTTAGTGCTTTTGGCCAATGCAGTTGATGCCAAATAAGAATTAGGCTTATGTGATGACCATAATGAGTGCATAAATTACAGGTAGATGCAAGCCTTTGAGGAGACTAAGTGATTCTGGGTGTGGGGAAAACAAAGGGCCAGGGGGAAGGAGACCAACGGAGAATGAGAAAGGGACTTATTCTGCAGAAGCCAAGAGTCAAGGAAGAAAAACAACTCAGCTGAATCTGGAGAAACAGTCAACTGAAATTCAAAATAACACAACAATAAGAGAATCATACGAATTTTGTTAGCAAGCCAGACTAAAGGATGCTAGGTAAAAAGACTTGGGGAGCTTCTGAGCCAAGAAACGTGCCTGCGGCAGGGCTCTGTTGTCCCATAATGCTCTCTCTGCACATAGACCCTCTACAGGGGACCTGGACACTCCAGCCACAAACACGGGAGACACCTCAAAAGCAATGGGATGAGGAGACACACCCCCCGATCCCAGTTGTCCTGGCTGTATACGCTGGACCTGACAAAACCCATGAAATCTCACAAGCTGAGCTGGGACAGGGTTCTGTGCATGTTCAGTGATTGTAGGTGTCTGCCCAGTACGGACACCTGCACAAGGCCACAGCCTGGCACATGGCACTCTCATTTTCCCTTTGGAAGAACTAGTCAACAACAGATGTGGTCAGAACAGACTGTAGAAAAGAAATACAGTTGGTGGCTATCTATTTCCACATGCACACCTAAATATGGCCCTGAGCGAAAGGCCTGGAGGCTACACGGAGACCACATCTCCTTGTCTTTCTCTTGCCTTTCTTGCATCTCCTGATCAGGTAAGCTGATGGCTTTCCTGATGACCATGAATGAGCAATAAGAAGCACTTTGAACTTTTAGCAACCAGGTTCTAACAGAGGGATGAGGAAACACTGGTGTAGATTATCAGAAGTGCCATGCACCTGCATAATCTAATATTCTGATAATATGATCCTGTAGGCATTAGGCTCATGTAACACCAGCTCAAGCAAGCAGGAGCAGATTTACATGTAAACGAAGTGGTAGGTCACTGCAGGGACAGGGGACAAATGCTGTCAAAATCTGCCTCATACCTTCTCCTGTGGCCTTTTGTATACCTACAGCTCAAGGTCCCCAAAACTGGACCCCTTGACTGCCATCTTCTTGTTACACTCTATTGGTCATATTAAAGGCACATGAACAACTTATTTTTTTTCCTGTTATAAAAACTATAAAATAAAGTAGTAAGAGAAATAAACTGGGAAATTTAATTCATGCCCACCCCCAAAACAATCAATGAATGGGTAATTCATTGCAGCTTTGTAAATGAGAAGATTCTGAAGAAAGCTACACTCCCTCTCCAGAGTATGCAATATGAACATACACGCAGAACTGCCGCATTCCGAACTCGCACATGACTCCCCCAAGTTTCTGAAAAAGGCGTCTCTTCCTTTAGGCTATTTATTCATATTGTAGTTTCACACTACATAGTAAGTTCCTCAAGGATAAAGGATAAAGGTCTTCCACTACAACCACAGCACCTGCAGGTGTGTTGTGTGTTTTGCAGGAATTCAGTGAGTATTGTTGATGCCTTCCGCTGGGCCCCACCTCTCTACTCACAGTCTTTTTTAAGTCTGCACTTTATAGACAGGTCTCAGCAACATCTTAATTTGTAATATCTTCAAAAGTCAAAAGAGACTTCTAGGAATCTATCATAAAGAAATAATCTAAAATGTAAGCATAGCTTCTTGCCCAGAGATGCTTCTCATACATTATTAAAGCAAAAAGCTGGGAATGATGCAAATGCCCAATGCTAGAAGAATAGGTAAGTACAGTGTAGTACAGCCATATAATGGAATATTGTGCAGCCACTGAAAATGATGCTTATAAAGACTTTTTAATGGCAAGCAAGATGTTTATGATGTAATGTTAAGTGAAAAGGGCTCTATTCATACACATACAATGATCTCAACTCTCTTTAATTTTTAAAAATTGATTGGAGAGAGGGAGAGAAACATCAAATTGTTGTTTCACTTTATTTATGCATTCATTGGTTGATCCTTATATGTGCCCTGACCAGGGATCGAAGCTGTGACCTTGGTGAATCTGGACAACGCTGTAACCAACTGAGCTACCTGGCCAGGACTTCAACTCTCTCTTAAAAACAAACAAAAAACAAACAAACAAACAAAAGAAAAAGAAAAAACCTGGATGGGATTACCTCAAAATGTTTACAGTGGTTAATTGATTAATAAGATTATAACTAATTTTTATTTTCTTCCTGACATTTTCCTATATTTTCTAAGTTTTTACTTTCATAGTTAGGAAAAAAACAATTTTTCTTTTTTTGCAAGCCCAAAGGGAACATGAAGACCTGTGAAGGGCAGTGTTCGCGTAATGGCAGGAGGGCGCTTCAGAGCTTAGGATGGGCAGGCATGGGAGCTCATGGGCGGGCCTGTCCCGGTACCTGTGCCCCCACGAGCGGGTGAAAGCACCACGGACGCTGAGCGTAGAATGTTTCAGAGGCTCAGGCTACGTTGCCAGGTCTTCTTGCTCCAGTTCCTCAGGACCTCTTCATGATCCTGGTGAAAGCTATCTATGGTCTCTCTCCAGAAGATGAACTCAAACATACACACAAAACTCTATCCACATGCCAAGCCCATGTACATGCCCCCTCCCCCTCCCCCCTCCAGGACCTGGGGAACAGGAATCTCCATCAAAAAGTTTGGATAACTTCTTGAGACCTAAATGATATATCGTTAAAAATGGGATAATGCTTCCAGTTTTAGAAGGAACCCCAAATGCAGAGCTAGCAGACCCTATGCAGGTGTGTAAAACAAAGTTTGTTTTCTCTCTGTTCTGGAGAGTCCTATCTCAACCCCACCTCCTGGCCAGGCTCCTGCAAAGCCCACTCTGGAACCCCCAGGATCCTTACATTCTCTCTCCCAGCTTTTCCCCACCCAAATTTGCCCTACCAAAATCCCAAGGTTTTTAGCAGTTTTAACAAGAATCAAGGGCTTAGGCTAAAAAAATGCAATTCTATTTTTGTCATTGTTGTTGTTTGCTTTGTTTATGTTTTATTTTAGCTTTATCAAGGTATAATTGACATAAAATTGTAAGACATTTAAAGTGTGCATTTTTGTGACTTGATATAAATTGTGAAGGGATTCTCCCCATCTACCTAATTAACACATCCATCGCCCCTCATATTTGTATTTTGTGTGTGAGAACATTTAAGTTCTACCTTCTTAGCCAATTTCAATTATACAGCACAGTGTCATCAACTGCAATTACCATGTTTAACCATTTAATTGCAGACTTGCAGTCATCAGACACTGTGTGTGTATGCAGGTGTGTGTGTAGGTGCACTAATGTGGTGCAGAGCATTTTCCTTACCCCTAAAATCACATGCGACTTTAACAGGAACTTACATCGTCTAGGCAGAGGGTGGACATACCCTATAACCCTGGGTATGTCAGATGCTGTTGAATATATGCTGAATTTGTCCCCAAGATGACACCTGCCTTCAAATTGTGTCTGTCAGCCTGGGATTTGGGAGTTTAGTGCTCCAGAAAAATACAAGTCTTTGGTGTCTTCATGATTCTCATGTGCCTTAGCACAATGCCTTTGTTGCCACTACCAGAGAAAGTGCTGGAATGGGCCTGTTAGAGAAAAGCACTCTTTCTATTTGTGCTGGGAAGGAAATAGTAAGAGCAACATCTTCAGTCTTCTCTCAGCACATGGGTCCCTTTGATAGGAAGGTAACGATATTCCACCACGGAGACAGAACCTGAGGAACACAGTTTCTCAGGGAGAGAAGGTCAGGAAGAGAAAGTCAGGGAGAGGCGGAAGGCCCCTTTATGATCCTGCCACTAAGACAGCCATGGCTGATTCCTAATGGGAAACCAGGAGGGAAAAACTACAACTCCGGTCTCTGCTCTGCATTCACAAAGAGGAGACTGTGCTTTCTCCTAGGCGGGCCACCTTTACCCCTTGCATTCACATACCTTTCAAAGTGTCACGGAAGACACACTCCCTTTAGGTTTTGGGTTCAGATTCCCTGGT